GTGCAAACTCTACTACACTTGGGAAAACGTATCAAGCACCGGAAATTACCGGCCCTCGTTTTTCTTCTCGATACGTCATCAAAGCATTTTCATTGACCGTGTGATGACAAAGATCCAACGAACGAAACGACATACGCTTGTCTCTCCGTATGCTCGAGGAGAGAATAATGTTTTCGCGTAATTGAATATTTCCATACGAAACGAAGCACTACGATAGCACAAGAATTTCAGTTCACAGACTAACTATAACGTAAAAAAAGTTAAATATAAATATAACTACTTACATTAAATATTTAATTATAATTTTGTTAATATTCTATTAAAATATTTAATTATGACTATATTATGATTTTATTAATATTTTATTAAAATGTTTATTAAAATTGTAATTAGAATTAGTTATAATTTTGTAAAAAAGGAATCACAGCAATAAACCTGAACCCATTTCAAATCTCTGGTTTCAAATCTCAAGTTCATTTCAGTTCGTTTTATTCTAAAACATGTTTTATATTATATAGCGGAAAATCGAAGACACCTTTCTTCTCGAAAATGCTATAAATTGTTATAAACAATTTTTTCATGACTGAGAAGATTGAAGCTTTCTCTTTACGATATATTTTTTTTCTTTTTGTTTTGAATATCAGGCTTCGAAGAAAATTCAAAAAATTGCAACATTTCCATCGTTATATTCGTTTTTATTTGACATTTAAAATTCACTAAAATGACGCAAAAGAAATTACTTAAAATTTTAGGGGATCATAGTAACAGGAAGCTTCGATCTTCAAATCCATTGTAGATTCAGTTGCAAAAGAAATTTTTCAATATTTTTGCACATCATGACAATTTATTGCATTTTTGAGAAAAAAAGTGTCTTTATTTTTCTATCCGTTACGTGATGTAAAAACATTTTAGAATAAAATAAATAGTGAAATGGAGTTTCAGGTTTTAAAACGAATCGAAGGTTCATTATTGTACGATTTTGTTTTACGAAATTGTAACAGCAGTGTCTCAATGTTAATGTAAGCCACTGTATAAACGGAGCGAATTCTAATGTGTCTTTTTTTAAAATATTTTTTTTGCTCGTTCGTTTTTTGTTCTAAAATTACCATAGTTGATCAATGTTATAATTACTATTTTTTTTTAGTCGTTTTCCTGCATAAGTGTAAATTTATCTTTTTCTGTACGTATTCTTCTTCTGTCATCAAAATAAGTAAAGAACATTTTTCTCGTTCATTTCTTAATTAAAAAAATAAATTAATAAATACAGTAGAACCTTATATATCGTTATACGGACTATTGGGTTATCCAGAAAGTTCGTGCCGACTTTTACTAAATAACATTGGAACATGTATACATATATCAATGTATTGAGAACATTATATCTGTGTATATATTCTTAAAAGGGACATTTCAACGTATCTTTAGGAAAAAAGTTGTTTGAAATAAATTGATTTATATCCTTTTAAAGGTAGACAAAGTGCACTTTAGACATGTATACCAGAGATGATATATTTTCGCCGTTGCTATTACTGGATTTGTCTTCGTTGTTCAGTTTTTGATGATCATTTTGTAAAATAATTTCGTCAATCGAATGAGCTCGATTATTGTAATTTTTTATCGGATTTGTACCATTCTGTTACGCTGGATTTTATACAAAATTGCAATGACTTCATCTGTCTCATTTTCGTTTGATTCGATAAATTCATCTTTCCCATTCAAAATCTCGCTACGTCAATTTCAAACTGAATAATTGTGAATCGATTTCATTCTACGAGAAGTATGTGAACACATTTATACGCGTGTAAACACTTTTATTACAATATCGTAGTAGGAAATAACGAAAAAAGTTCAAGTAACAGAATATTCGCATAATAGTACGGAGCTGTTCATATAACGGAGATTCCGTTGTAAATATAAAAAGTAATTTTGAAGATTTCGTACGTAAGATTTTATACCTGTATTTCTGTGAAATTTTCGCGTATCCCAATCTATTAGAATACTTTAGTGTAAATATTCGTTGAATTTTTCTCGCCACTCGCAGAGTAACGCTTGGGACGAGCACAAAGGTTCGGCACAGCGGTTTCTTCAATCGTTGCGAAACGTTCGCTTAAAATCTATTAGCTGAGGGAAATACAGCGTGTAGCACTGAATGCTTCTTTCCGCGTCAGGACGCGTACGTTTAACGAGCAATGCGACTGGTAACCATGGTAATTCTCGTTCTTTTATGTTGAGATGTAAATTTAGTATTTCTTTTTCTTTTTCTTGAAGCTGCATTTAATCAACTATGTAGCCATCATGGTTTTCGTTGATTCTTTCGCATCTGATCATCAACCATGGTTTTTATTCCAGCTTCGAAAGTTCTGGGATTTTGAAATCGAAAAGTTCAACCTCAACATTGTTGACCTTTTCGTCTAAGAATTAAATTTTTCTCCAGCGAGGAAAATACTGCAAGGATCTGAAAAGGAATGGAGAGTGAAGGATGGAGAAGAACTTCCCATTCGAGTTCCTTGATTTTTTGCTCGTCAAAATAGGATGTTTCTTTGCAATGGCTGCTTTCAAGTTAACCGCAATAAAAGTTTGCAGGAACGGTTTCATTCGACATTAAGCAGCTCAAAGTAAACCACGTCATGAATATTCCACCAAACATAAGAGAGAACGTTCATGCGGGATTGCTTCCATAGATATTGGACTTTGGAACTTCTCCAGCGGAAGTCATTGTTTGTTCATCACTGGGTTATCACGGAGAACCCATTTTTCATTTCTCGTTATGATACGGTCCTTTTTTATGGCGGCTGCATATGGAGGACCTTTGTTCTCATCATTGAGCATATGGGGCATATCCCATATATCATGCGGATTTCAAGTGGCGTTGATCAAGTGGTATTCATCCTTTTTGAAATTTCCTCAATTGTTTGGCCAGGATCTTCTTCCACAATAGCCCGTAAAGCGTCTTCATCAAATTGAACTGAACGACCGTTCCTTGGCAGTATTTTGCAAGATCAAAATTGCCACTACAAAATCTGTTGACTTACGTTGGTACTTGTGAAAGTCCGAACAATTTGGATAAATTGCATTGATATTCGCAGTTGTGTTATGACCGTAATTAAACTATAGCATACAGTGTATACATATCAGCTTCTTCACACAGATTTACCGTTGTTTATTTTACAAAGGTGTTTTATCTAACACTCTCTAAAAACATTGTCTATACACTTTGAACAACGAAAATTGCAACGAGCTCGATGCAACAATAACTCCAGGAAACAAGTCGAAAGCACACGAGACCGCAAAAACGACGTTACTCGTTGATATCACCCTCTAATAAATCCTGTTGACTGATCGCGCAGCTAGCATACATATTCCATTCGCCACAGTACGCAGCCGTAAATATATTTCGGAAATCATTCGAGATATACCCTCCGCCGCGATGCTTTGCGATTCCCCTTTCTCCAATTACGCTTGGCTCCGATCCCAACAGCATAGCTACCAACCTTTCGCCGGAGATAGATACGACGCCATTACAGTTGATAAACTGTACACGCTCGAAACTCGAATCTGCTTCGTGTCGAGCCATGGTTTGACGTTGTCCATCATCGTTCTCCATTGTGGATCAAGGTTTTCCGATCGAAAAAAAGAACTTCGACTTCCGTCCGGTTAATTCTCTCTCTTTTCAGTAGTTTCTCGCAGTATTTTGCATCATGCAAACGACTGTGGAAGCGAGTCAGCATCCAGTGTCAAGGGACAAAGAAACAACGAATCTTCGTTCGAAGGTACATCGGCTGATCGTCTCGACGACGAGCGATCCTGGCGATCGTCGAAGGTCCGCCGAGGCACACAACTTGCGCGCGCGCTCCCCTCGTCTCTTTTCTCGGTGTCTCCCGTCCCGCAGAGTGAACGTCGTCCTTGCATTGAAAAAGCAGCAAGGTCGTTCAGGACTTATATAGCACGGCCCAGCAAGCCGCGGTTCGAAACCCTCCCGACACTCCCCGGAGTCCTGCTCGACAACACCACGCGTCCTTTTCGATGTCTTTTCTGCTTTCGATCCTCTCTCTCTCTCTCGTCTTCCATGCCTCCACCATCCCTTGCCGTATCTTTTTCTTCTCGCCCAGCCCCGACACTTGGTACACCGAGTCCGCTGTCCCGGCTTTCTTAACTCTCTGACACCGAGCACACTGTGCATTACTTATCTTCGCGGCTCCCACACGAAGCCTGACTCTGATATACGAGAGTAACGACGAAATCGTCGTTGCCGGGTAACCGAGGAGAGATAAAACGCCGAGCAACCGAGGCGGGGGAGAGCCACCCGATTCGTTACAATCGTATTGCTTCTCGCCGTGATTTTTCTGCGCCACGTAACGAGACGTTCGCGATATCGCGCACGACGACGACGTTTTCTTACGCGATCGCTATCAAGCTGAATCCGAAACAGCCAATCGGTTAAGGAACTTGTCCTTTGGCTTATGTCCGCGAGAGAAAGAGAGAGAGACATCCAGCGCGTGATGTCAGGAGACGATGTATATTACAGACGTGGACGCCGTTTCTCTGGGGAAAAAAAAATTCTCTTTGTAAAAAATTTTGTAAAAAATCGAAAGCACACCTAAAACTACGTACTCAATTAATTTCCAGCACTAGCGATTATTGTTTGGACGCGGAGAGACATTTTTTCCCAACAAAGGACATACTTTTTCAACATACGAGACAGGTAAAGACCGTCATATTTCTCGAATACTCTCGACGACTCTCTGTTGTTAAGACACGTATCCCTCGCAATCATTACTTCATGATTAATCAAACATTTTCAATTGAATTGGCATCGAAGGACTGAGATGGCCAATCCAACACACTGATACCGCTTTTCCTTCTCCGCTTCTTGCAAACGTGGTTTTGATGCTTGGAACCATTATCCTCTAAAACTATCCAAGACTGGTTTCCTTCATTAAACTAGTGTCTCACGGACATTAGAAGTCCCCTTTCATACAATTTGATCGTCATTTGAGTGCCTAGATTGTTGATAAAGATTGTGCGTAAAGTCTTAAATTCGCGGACATTAAAGCAGCCCCAAACATGCTTTTATCGGATGTTTGACAGTTCTCTGGACAGAACAGGCTCGTTTGACAGGATTTGAAAATTGTTTGGTCGATTATGAACAATTCTAGAAATATCTGAGCAATAATCAATAGTAGTAAAGGACATACTATTAATTGAGTGCGTAATAGTATTTTCGATCTGTGTAAAATTTTTTATAAAAAGAACATTTTTTTCAGAGAAACGGCGTCCACGTTCTTATTAAACACACTGTATATTTCCATCGTAAAATAATTCGTTGGTAAGTTTCTTTCACGAGAAATCACGATTTTACGAGCTTTAACGCGTCCCGGTTAAGAATTGCGCAGGTTATGAGCCACAGCCATCATATACGTTTCCCCCGTGTTTGTTTCTTGTCTTCCAACGTAATATCCTTGTTCTCCTGCTGGCGTACACGTTCCGTGGAGATTTTTTTCCAAAGGACGCAGCCGCTTGTACGAGCATCGCAAGAAGATTCCGCGGGATTTATGCCGGCGTTGCCCATTTTACTCGTCTTCATTTCCCATTCGTGCTCGTTCCAATGATGGCTTGGGATCGTATCTGTCGTTCCTTGTGTTACCGCGGTTGAATTACGACCACGCGTTATGACGATCTTCGTCTTTCTGCGCTTTGCGCTGCAACTGCACCACGATATCCAGTATCGTCGGTCGATGGATCGTCTATCGACGAAGATTTTCAGTTACTACCAATGCAACGAAACCGAGGATCTACTGTTTTTCAATGAAAAATAGAGTAAAGTGCCCAAATAAAATGCTCCCCCCCCCCCGAGTATTTATTTTAGTATTTAGTATTTATTCAAAACTGAATCTGAATTTTAATCTGAAAAAGAAAATTGGTACAATTACTTTGAAAGCTTGGCAGGAGATCTTCAATCTTTTAAATGTTTGATAAAAGTTCGCAGAAACAAAGATAAAAATTAATATGTAAAAGGATGCAATTTTTAGATTATTAAAAAAGTGTTTCTAATTTCGTTCCCTTACACTAGTGAACGAAAAGTTGAAAAGAACGTCGTGTTATTCGCTCTTTCTATGTAGCTAAAAAATGTCTTACTGATCGAAATATATGTACAAGATGTTTCCGAAATCGTGGTACAACTGGCTAGGATATGATTCGATATTTAAAAATAAGCCGAAAAAAAAAATGAAATTTGTCTTTGTTTTCGAGAAAATCGAGTTTGAAAATTTTATCAGGTATACTCGAATTTAGTTAATTCTAAACGTGACAGAAAAGAATAATTAATAGGAAATTATTTTACGTTCAAAAATGTAGTAAAATGTAGACTAAAGTTTCTTTGTAAAGTGCTTCATTTTCAAGAAAATCGAAGTTGAAAACATTTTATTCTACATTTTTTACTTATTTTTGAATATAGGATATACTTTCTTATTAATTATTCTTTTCTGTCCGGAGTTAAATTCAAAATTCTAAGATTAGTCTAGAATTAGTACATTTTCAAACTTCTAATCAAAAAAAATTTATTCTTTTTTCTCGACTTATTTTTTTATGCAGAATCACTTTTTGGCCGGTTGTACCACACTTTGGGAAATATCCCCTATAAGTAAAATTAAGAATTTATGCATCGCATGCAAATTTTTCATTTGTGACGTAGATGTGCATTTCTCGTGGCACCATTTGAAACACCTGGATTCGTGCTGTTGACAAATTTTCTAGTCCTCTGTTCTGTCAGAATTCAGCAGTTTACGTTTCCCTATCTGAAAAGCGTGCAAATAAGTCAGTACTTTCATACAATACATACATAGTTACAATTACAAAGAAAAAAAAGAAAATGTTCCCTAAGATGAAAATTAAAAACTATGTAGGAGGACCAAATTAAACACAGAGTCATTTTGTAATATAATTGTCGTAGAACAAAGTTCCACTTCAAAATGAAAATAGAGGCGATATATTGTACATTAAGTAAAAAAACAATCGCTGAAATGCATCTCCATATATATTACAGAATATTATAGTGCACTCCACGCGTATAAATAATGCAAGGACGACGGATTCATTTGTTTTCGTTCACTAGCAACGTTTCTATTATATTAGACTAGCCAAAAAATAACTACGTTTTTCAGGTGCAAATGAAAAGCGAATTTTTCATGAAAAACAAAAACATTATTAATATTATATTAATATATTGACCATTTTGTTCGATTACTTTTTATCATCTTCCGGGCAACTTCGTGATTCTGCGTTCAAAAAAATTCTTATTCTTTTCGACAAAAACAGTTCCAAGAACGATTTAATATCCTCATCAATAATAAAATTTAGCAAACCAATTCCGACACTGCCGTTTTCTTCACCGTACGTTTCAGATAATTTTTTAATGAGCTTGCACAAAGGTTTTTTTTTTTTTCTTTTCGGAGGTAGTACAGCAAAATATGACGAAAATTTTTCTTTTTGATTTTCCACTTTGAAATCGTATTGTGTATTTTCTTTTTTCTAAATCAAGAACTCAAGTCACACAATGAATCTTTGTGGTTTAAAATGAAGTCAGTTATATTTTAAGATATACACGTATGTCCATTTATTGGAAAAAAAACGCAATTACTGTTTGGTCAATCTAAATTACAGTTACCGCTGATAACTTGCGGCAGTTATAATAACAGAGATAAATCATACAGAGGGATCGAAGTTAAACACGGAGACAAAATTCGGGCACATCGTGACCCATTTTCGAATAATGTAACGCCAGTTCG